AAAGAACCGAACTCTAGTTACCGGGTGCATTCACATAGGCGATCTTCTCCCCAACACAGTTTGTTTGAAGCTAGAAAGCGAGTGGGTTCGCCCTTTCGCGACGAAATGAATCTGGTCAAAGATGCGAGCTATATTTAAACTCCTATTTTTTAATGCGTGGTTGCATATTCATAAGAAGGCCACTCGGTTGAGGCAAATTTGGGCACTGGATGCTGCAATTTTGCAGCGCGCAGGAGACACGCTGAGTCAGTTTTTTCGTGTGTCAGGGTCGCATTTCTGCGGTAGAGGTTGCGTCAACGACTACTGCGACAAAAATGACAGACATCTCATTCACAGGGCGCAAATACTCTTGCGTGAGGGTTGCGATGCCAAAAGTCTGTGTGCGTCAGTAGAGTGCTTAGCTCTGTCAGAATTTACGGATAGTCAGAACGGAAGGAGTGCCCTCTACCAGAACCCACTCGCAGGCTTGACATGGAAGATTAATAGGCAGGGTATAAGGAAAAGGAAATCACATCACAGCATGTCTTTTTTCGGCTGCAACTTTCCTCAACAGTGTGTGTGTTTCGATCTCAGGTTGTGAGATGAATCACGTCTAAGGGAGCAATTATTTTTTAAGGAGATTGTTTGCTATCTACTTCAAGGATGTTTTACGTCTTCGAGTTATAATAGGTTGCTTAGTTCACCTGTCGTGAACGAAGATGTCGAGCGTGAGCCCCGGAAAGTGAACGCAATACTGAATCCATGTGGTTAGACTTATTTGTTGTGACTTGCACAGCACGTACGGCATCCACTCTATCCGCAAGGCAAAGAAAAAAACGACAAATCTTGGGCATTGACCAAGTTAAACAATCCGTTTGCGCATGTCATACACGAACTGCTCATCGTAGCGAGAGATGACGTCCCCGCGAGCCACAGAAACTGAACGCCACATCGAAGAGTCGAAAGCGAATTAATTTACAGTGAAGCAGACTCGAGACAGTGCGACCATCGATTTCGATTATGTCCACCAACTACAGGATGATGCAGAGACGGTGTGACTTGCGTGTGCATAAATTAAAAAAAATTGTGGACTTGCGCAAACCTACCGAACTCTCTGCTCCCCTTCCTTAACCCACCTGTGCCTGGTATCAGGAAGACTGGCGGCGGTTTCGGACGCAGGTTTTTGGCGCGGCCGAAGCCGCCACGACCACGCTCCCCTATGTTTGGCATTTGTTAAGGGAGCGCAGCCCAACCTTACTCTGATCTGACCCCCGTGTTAAGCCAGGGCACCTTGTTGGGGATGTATCCATCCCCACGATGCGTTACAACAGAGAAAGGCGTCGCAGCGCAGTTGACACACCGCGGCAATGAGAGCCCGCACCATGGCTATCGATTTTTCGTCATAGCTGATTGGTCTATTGTCGCCAACGCTCCCTCATTAAGCTGTCTGAATAAATACTCGGCAGCCTCTTGTGAGAGTGACTTACTCCGACTTGTTTCATGTTAATACACTTCCCTCGTGGCCGACTAACTTCTCTTGTTCTCACATACTGGGCCTTGGGGACAACAGCCGGGCTAACTCAGGGTTCGTGCAAATTACAAGGACCAGGCGCGGATCATAACACATCTACCACGCGGCCCATTTATGGGGCACGCCAAATGTAAGCCGCATCTAACACACAGCCCTAACCACCTTTTTCGGATAACAGGACGATGCCAGGATGACCGGAGGTGGGCTTAGGCGAAAAGTTTTCAATATTACGTGTCTGCAAATGCTCATAGTAGGGTCTCCTGTGCAACAAAAGAACGACGGGGGTTAGGTTAGGAAACACGCAGTAGATCTCTATCTGATTGGCTAGATTAGGAATTCGTTAAGAACTGGAACATCCTGCGCCGCGAGATACTCATTTCCGCCCCAAAGTAGCAGCACATGGCAAATAACTCCTTAGCCGTCAAGTTGCGGCCACAAGGCAAGCGTGTTGTTTAGTAGACGGAAGAAGCAGTCTACGCACATAATCGGCAATCCTGACCTCTTCACGTACCTGAAAACGGTTTATCGGCCACCTGGTATAGCAACTCAGTCTCCGACATCGCCCTCTGAAACCATCGCAAGCTAACAGTCCTGACTGAGTCGTTTATCCAAAGACAACAGTAGAAGCAGAGTTGGTCAAACAGAACTGGTGTTCAAAAAGTCTCCCAAAAAAAGAAAAGAAAACACATCCATAAAACACTGGCAGGGGATGAAAGAGGAGGTAAAACCAAAATAAGACAACAAA